TGCAAAAGTACTGAGATGTGTGATTTCGCGCTCGAGCGGGTTCTCTAGTGCTCGAGCGGACCTCTGTTATATCACGCGCATATTTTGCTGAAGCCGCTCGAGCGGAGATCGCGGGACAGATTCTATAAATTTGCATGTTGGGTCAGATTTTAGGATTACTACTCCAGATCTTCTTTTTGGGTTCTAGGATTTATATCTGGGGATACTTTGTGAGTTTTCTTTGATGTTTTGTTTGAGTATTCAACTCATGTTTTAAAGAGTATACATCAAAGGTTTTGTTTGTTCTACAAAAGAGAGAGTTGTTCTTCGGTGGATTCTGAAGAATTCGAGCCTGAAGCTTTAGTGGATTCCGGGGTGGCTCATCGTAAAGACAATTCTGAGGTGAAGACGGGTTGGAAGAGGCACGTAGAGGTTGGTTCAATTAGGCATGGATTCGCTAGATAATTAAGAGTATACCTGTGTAATTCCTTTAAATCTTCTTAGTGGATTGTTTTGTGGTTGTTGCCCGTGGTTTTTTTATCACAGTTGGAGGTGTCCAATTGTGGTTTTTCTACGTAAAATCGTTGTGTCTCTTTGACTTGATTTTTTGATTGGGATTGTTATATTCTGCTTAAAATTGATACATAATCACAAATCAACATCTAGGGGATTTCTAGATTTTTCACATATATTTATTTATCTGATGTGTACACCAGAACTGACCTTGAATTAAGGAAAAGACGAAGAAGAAAGTGGTGGAGAGCGAAAAAACGCTCTCCCCCTCTCTCTCTCTCTCTCTCTCTCTCTTTCTCAGCCGTGGACACATGCACATGGAGAGTGCCTAATTTCAAAACCTTAGGGGACGCCGATGCAATTTAACCTCTAAACTAAAATGTAAACATGAAACAAGAACAAATATGCTACTATCGACAAGCTTTTCTCTTCTTTTTTTAATTATAACTGAATGAGTTACTTTTGTGATTTGTCCAAAATATACACCACCAATATCATAATAAATACCCCAGCAAAAGATAATGCTTAAAACAACTTTACCTGCTGTGTCCTGTCACCATGAATGGTAGTAGCAGGAAACCCATTCATACACAGCCAATGTTCCAGTGAATCAGCTCCTTTCTTCGTCTCCACAAAAACCAGAGTCAGAGCTTGCTGCAAAACCAAGAGCAGAAAAGCAACAATCATGTAGATAATGAAGGTCAAGTTTTAAAATTAGCTTAAAATATGAAACACCAATAAAAATGTTAAACAAAAAATTACCCTACTAACAACATTAAGAACGCTAGCACTCGTATATCAAGAGATCAGACTTCCTACTGCAAAAACTCCTCTCTCTTTCTAATAAGATTTCAATTCCATCTTTAAGCTTTAAACAGTAAGTTCTTTGGGCCATAAAATACTAAAATTACCGGATGCGATTGTAATTCACCCCTATACATACGTGTTATTGACGTAAACAGATCATTCAAGAGTAAATATAAGATGTAGCCCACTGTGGCTTTATGTGTGGACATGAGCCAAGATTGATCGAACCTTAGTAGCAAGAAACTCCTACTTGGGTGACATTTGTCTTCCTTTCACATGAGAACATTCCCAACTTATAACTCATTTGCATCCACTTTTAATTGTCTATTGGTTTTACCCTCCTTTCAAGTAGTAATACAATCATGTAGCCCACTGTGGCTTTATGTGTGGACATAAGCCAAGATTGATCGAACCTTAGTAGCGAGAAACTCCTACTTGGGTTGGTGACACTTGTCTTCCTCCCACATTAGACCATTCCCAACTACTTATGACTCATTTGCATCCATTTTTAACTATCTATTGGTTTTGCCTCCTTTTAAGTAGTAATACAATGTTTTTAGTATCATTTCTTTCATATGGTCTCTTATGTCATGGTCTCTCCTATCCACAACAAACCATGCATTGTTTTTGCCAGTGTTCAATTCATTTGCAACAAATGCTACCAAAAAAATATTTCAAATCCAAAGTCCCCTGGCACATAATGGCATTCCCATAGGACCAAATTGCCATTTCCTATTGGCCCTTAATGCCATTTCTCATTGGCCCATGGTGTCACATTTTCTTTCAATCCATAGATGCATTCCATTAGCAAGATGTCTTATTTCTTGCATCATTTTCTTATGATTGCATGATACTAATTTTGTGCATATATCTTGCCCTATTTGTCATTTAGAGGAAGACTGACTTACCACCATTTGCACAATGTTCATTTCGTGCCTGATGTGTTTGCATATCGCTCATTCTCTGCACACTTACATGTTTGTAAGATGTTTGATTCCCTGTCTTCTCCCAAAATTTCATTGAGAGGGTGTCATTATCATGATCCATTTTTACATGATGTGTCATTTCGTGCATTTTTCAGCAAAGTCGCACTACCAATAATTTAGTATGGCTGCATACTTGGTGAATTTGCATAATGTGTCATTTTGTGCAAACTTAAACAACCATTTTCCGGCAATAATTTAATTTCCGAGTTCAAGTTTGACACTTCAACAATTTCATGATCCAACTTGGGGTGGAGGGTGGGGGGTTTGTGTGTGTGAGTGTCGAAGATAAAAACACATTGAAGATAGAATCTCATGATTTATGGTTGCATAATTTGTGGCTTGATTTTATCTCCAATCGCTAGTCTAGAATTATAAAAATTGTGGAAAATGATAGCGATTCACCCTATATATATGGGCGTTATTGATGTAAACAAATCATTCAAGAGTAAATAGAAGAAGAGCCTGTAGTGACTCTGTTATTTTCTTCTCTTTCCAAACCAAACCAAACCAAACCAAGCCAAGCCTTAGGTCCCATCAAATGGGTCAACTACATGAATCCTCTGCTCCACTCAATTCTATCAAAGGCCATTTGATTAGTCAAAATAAAGAGATTCATATTTCAATTTACTACACTAGCCCACATCAATCTAAGTCTGCCCCTTCCCCTAACACTTCCATCTACCGTCACTTTATTGCATCTCTTCACTACTGCCTCCACTGGTCTTCATTGTATATGACCAAACCATCTCAATCCATTCTTTCTCAGCTTATTATCTTTCTCAACTTAAGGAAGACAAAATTTGACAACAACTGACCAACCTTAATAGTCTTGCCACACATCCACCTTAGCATTCTCATCTCAGCAACATTCATCTTATCTACATGTTGTTTCTCCTCTTTCTATCTCAAATAATTATTCCCTAAAACCTAGTAATAAATTGAACGAGATTAACAAATCAGAACCACACCAATTAAAAAAGCAAATGAAATATCGACACCTGTAAATTGTTCACCATTGACACTTTTTCATTGTTCACCATTGTAGAGTTTGTAGTGTTGATCCGTAATTCAATTATTTTTAAAGATCGCATGTAATGTTGACACTTCTTATTGTGCTCAACCACTACATTACCCTCACCGACAAAATAAATAGAAAAATTTACATAAATTAATTACGAAATTGAACACAAATATTTTAAGCCCTCATTTGGCATGTTGAGTTAGGATGCTAAAGGTTAAAATAGATATAAAATGATAAAATAGATTAAAAAGTCAACAAGACAAAATGTCACAAAATCATTTCACTTTTTTTCTTACAAAAGTCAAAAAAATCAAAAAATTTAACCAAAACGAGGATTATTAGCCCAGACTAAAAGCCAAAAAGTCAACCCACTTCCCAAACGAAGCCTAAGCCTTCGTTTGGCATGGTGGTTTTAGGGGCTAAAAGGCTAAAATAGTATAAAATAAAATTAAAAAAAAAACGAAATATATTAAAAAGTCAATAAGACAAAATGTCACATCCAAATCACAATCATTTCATTTTTTTCCTCACAAAAGTTAAAAAAGCCAAAAAGCCTAACACAAACGAGGCTATTTTATAAAATGTAATATCTAAATCATAATCATTTTACTTTTTTTCTCTCGCAAAAATTTAAAAAGCCAAAAAGTTTAACACAAACGAGGCTTTTTAGTTCAGGCTAAAATAGCTAAAAAATCAACCCACTTTCCAAACGAAGCCTAAATCTTGGAATTTGAAAGAAGTTAAGGGTTCAGGGCCATCACATATCCTATGTTGATGATCTAAGTCATTCACAAACGTTATAAAATAAAAAGATTATGATTATTAAATTAGCTTAATTTTTTTAATGTATAATATACATGAAATGTTTTACAAAATGAACTGTTCGAATTATCAAAATGAGACTGTGGTAGGCTCCATTGGCCTCTCAAGTTCTTGAGATCAACCTTTTATTCTTATTTTTGAATTTTAGACTTAAGTAAGACGATTATATCTTATTTTGTAATTAATTTTTTTGCAAATTTAAGTCATACCATGCATGTGTCACATTTGAATAGTTTAATCTTTTGAATGAAAATATTACCGATGTTGTTCCAATTGACATCGGCCCTAATGTTCAATGTTATAGAGATGGTGTTGAAGCAGAAGTTGTTACAAGGGTTAGGTCATCTGATGAAATAATGATAGAGAATAGAGCTGACAAACAAAATGAAGAATGTGACGAACCTGATGTGGATTACGATATGGATCTTGATGTAGACTAGGATTTGTAGTTATTTTGCACTTTCTATATCAACATTGTTCTTAATTAATGTAGTTGAGTTTCAGTTGTGGGGTTCATCCACTGTTATGTAGGTTTATAGTTGATTGGTTATATTATGTGTCTGATGGCTTTATAATTAATTTGTTCTATGATAAGTAAAAGGTAAAAACAAAAATCATCCATCTCACTCTAGCCATATTTCAATGATTTAGAGCCTATATGACATATCCACTTGTTGAGATTGTTGTTGCTTTAAGCTTTATGTATAGAAATATATAATTATCTTTTTTTTACATCTAATGTTCAATTATGCTTATCCACCAAAAAAATGTTCATTTATGCTTTGTAGTTGGGCAAAATGGACGCTACAAAAAAACAGTTGACCAAACCAAGTACCGCAACTAAGAAGGTAACGAACTATGAGAAACAAAGAATGAAGAATATTAATAAAAACCGTGAGAGAATGAAGACTCTAGGAGTGAAGAATATAACAACTTGTTTGAAGGCTACGGTTCAACATAAGAAATTGAGGAAGGAAAAACAAATACCAATTGAGGAAAATGATGATGATTATCGACCGTCAGAGGCTGAAGATGGCAGTGACACTGAAACCTATGATTCGTTTGAGCATGAGGTACTATACATTTATGCATTGTGAAATATATTCTTTCTTGTTACTTTCAATTCATACACACATAGACATGTATATCTTTGTAAATATATTCATATTTTATTATGTTATTCAGATGTTAGAGATACCATCGAGAGCCCGTTCACAATCTCATCATGAGGCATTGACCCACGCATTAGAAGAGGGGGATACCTCTTCACGTCCTGAGGTGACTAGCAATCCGCCACCACCTCTCAATGTGGAGCCTCAACTTGAGGTGACTGCTGGTAATACTATTGGTAAGACACACTCTTTATTTACATTGATTTGAGATCTTAATTAAATTTGTTCACATACTATTTCAATATTATGGCTTCACAATATCAGCTGCTAAGCGTGCTCGTGGCCCGACTCGAGGCAAAGAGGTTCAAGGCCTTGTTGATAAAGATGGAAAGCTTAGCGTGCCTATCCCTCCAGAATTTCGTGCACCGGTAGGGGACTATGCCTCAAAACTAGCCTCAAAGATTGGTGTAGAAGTGCGAACTCGTTTACCAAATCCAAGTGTTCGTAGGTGGAAGTATGTTGATGCCTCCGTTAAGGAGGCGATGTTTCAACGCTTGAATGTAAGTTCGTTGTCTACTTATAGGAGATTTTACTCATTTTTATAATAGGTTAGAAATCTTAATTATTTATTGTAATTATTTTATTTTTTATAAGAATTATCTATGACTTATCTATTTTTTGCAGGATCAATTTGATTTACAAGGAGACCCTGTTGATATAGAGAAGGCAATGAACACAAAATTTGGTCGGAGATTGAGTAACCATACCTATAGGCTGCACAAACAATTCATGGAGCTGAAGGAGGCTAAAGGGGAGGAGTATGCAAGAAACCACCCACCAAAGAATGTCGATCCTACCAAGTGGATAGATCTTATTGATAAAAAGTGGAACACTAAAGAATTTCTGGTAACATTTTCATCTTTTTTATTATATCAACGAAGAAAGAATTTGATTAGAACAGGGAGAGATTCTAAAACAACTAGAAAGAACACAATCAATTTGCTGTGAAATTCCATATGTATTCTTTTCCCTTTATCTTCTAGGCATGTAAGTGGAACATAATAAAAACCAAATAAGTGAAAAAATGAGAAAGGGAAACTACTAAACATGGATTGGAAGGTTCGCATAATAGGAGATTAATTTATGGTTCCTTAAAGTGCATCTTTCACATCATAGAATAAAGAACTAAGATTTCAGTTTCTATGATTGTATTAATTTTCTGTTTATTCTTGAGTTTGGTCTGAAGTTTCATGATAATGGTAAGCAACTAGCTAAGTAACTAATATAGGGTATTGAGACAGAACTTTAGATTTGATAAAGTTGCGGAAGAAAGAAAGGGTTATGAGTTTGGTATCAGTAATTGTTCCATATCTTGTGAAATGTAAATGGATTTTTTCACAATCTATCTTGCCCATGCTTATATGCCCCCTATTTGTGAACGGTGTAAATTACTCGTTTTTCTTTTTTCACCCAGAAAAACCATCTTATGATGAAATCTCAACAAGTCCTCTAATCTATTTTTCACAGAATTGAATGAAACTAGTGAATAATTTGAAATATCTTTTAAGTTGAAATGATATATAGGAAAATGATAGAGAGGAACAATGCAATTTCTTTATTATCAACCATTAAATTTGTTTTACTAGTGATACATTTCATTGTTATATTGGTTCATTATTCCTTACAGGAACAATCAAAAGCCAACATATTTGTCTTACTAATGATACATTTCATTGTTATATTGGTCATTCTTCCTTATAGGAACAATCAAAAGCCAACATATTTGTCTTACTAATGATACATTTCATTGTTATATTGGTCATTCTTCCTTATAGGAACAATCAAAAGCCAACATATTTGTCTTACTAATGATACATTTCATTGTTATATTGGTCATTCTTCCTTATAGGAACAATCAAAAGCCAACATATTTGTCTTACTAATGATACATTTCATTGTTATATTGGTCATTCTTCCTTATAGGAACAATCAAAAGCCAACATATTTGTCTTACTAATGATACATTTCATTGTTATATTGGTCATTCTTCCTTATAGGAACAATCAAAAGCCAACATATTTGTCTTACTAATGATACATTTCATTGTTATATTGGTCATTCTTCCTTATAGGAACAATCAAAAGCCAACATATTTGTCTTACTAATGATACATTTCATTGTTATATTGGTCATTCTTCCTTATAGGAACAATCAAAAGCCAACATATTTGTCTTACTAATGATACATTTCATTGTTATATTGGTCATTCTTCCTTATAGGAACAATCAAAAGCCAACATATTTGTCTTACTAATGATACATTTCATTGTTATATTGGTCATTCTTCCTTATAGGAACAATCAAAAGCCAACATATTTGTCTTACTAATGATACATTTCATTGTTATATTGGTCATTCTTCCTTATAGGAACAATCAAAAGCCAACATATTTGTCTTACTAATGATACATTTCATTGTTATATTGGTCATTCTTCCTTATAGGAACAATCAAAAGCCAACATATTTGTCTTACTAATGATACATTTCATTGTTATATTGGTCATTCTTCCTTATAGGAACAATCAAAAGCCAACATATTTGTCTTACTAATGATACATTTCATTGTTATATTGGTCATTCTTCCTTATAGGAACAATCAAAAGCCAACATATTTGTCTTACTAATGATACATTTCATTGTTATATTGGTCATTCTTCCTTATAGGAACAATCAAAAGCCAACATATTTGTCTTACTAATGATACATTTCATTGTTATATTGGTCATTCTTCCTTATAGGAACAATCAAAAGCCAACATATTTGTCTTACTAATGATACATTTCATTGTTATATTGGTCATTCTTCCTTATAGGAACAATCAAAAGCCAACATATTTGTCTTACTAATGATACATTTCATTGTTATATTGGTCATTCTTCCTTATAGGAACAATCAAAAGCCAACATATTTGTCTTACTAATGATACATTTCATTGTTATATTGGTCATTCTTCCTTATAGGAACAATCAAAAGCCAACATATTTGTCTTACTAATGATACATTTCATTGTTATATTGGTCATTCTTCCTTATAGGAACAATCAAAAGCCAACATATTTGTCTTACTAATGATACATTTCATTGTTATATTGGTCATTCTTCCTTATAGGAACAATCAAAAGCCAACATATTTGTCTTACTAATGATACATTTCATTGTTATATTGGTCATTCTTCCTTATAGGAACAATCAAAAGCCAACATATTTGTCTTACTAATGATACATTTCATTGTTATATTGGTCATTCTTCCTTATAGGAACAATCAAAAGCCAACATATTTGTCTTACTAATGATACATTTCATTGTTATATTGGTCATTCTTCCTTATAGGAACAATCAAAAGCCAACATATTTGTCTTACTAATGATACATTTCATTGTTATATTGGTCATTCTTCCTTATAGGAACAATCAAAAGCCAACATATTTGTCTTACTAATGATACATTTCATTGTTATATTGGTCATTCTTCCTTATAGGAACAATCAAAAGCCAACATATTTGTCTTACTAATGATACATTTCATTGTTATATTGGTCATTCTTCCTTATAGGAACAATCAAAAGCCAACATATTTGTCTTACTAATGATACATTTCATTGTTATATTGGTCATTCTTCCTTATAGGAACAATCAAAAGCCAACATATTTGTCTTACTAATGATACATTTCATTGTTATATTGGTCATTCTTCCTTATAGGAACAATCAAAAGCCAACATATTTGTCTTACTAATGATACATTTCATTGTTATATTGGTCATTCTTCCTTATAGGAACAATCAAAAGCCAACATATTTGTCTTACTAATGATACATTTCATTGTTATATTGGTCATTCTTCCTTATAGGAACAATCAAAAGCCAACATATTTGTCTTACTAATGATACATTTCATTGTTATATTGGTCATTCTTCCTTATAGGAACAATCAAAAGCCAACATATTTGTCTTACTAATGATACATTTCATTGTTATATTGGTCATTCTTCCTTATAGGAACAATCAAAAGCCAACATATTTGTCTTACTAATGATACATTTCATTGTTATATTGGTCATTCTTCCTTATAGGAACAATCAAAAGCCAACATATTTGTCTTACTAATGATACATTTCATTGTTATATTGGTCATTCTTCCTTATAGGAACAATCAAAAGCCAACATATTTGTCTTACTAATGATACATTTCATTGTTATATTGGTCATTCTTCCTTATAGGAACAATCAAAAGCCAACATATTTGTCTTACTAATGATACATTTCATTGTTATATTGGTCATTCTTCCTTATAGGAACAATCAAAAGCCAACATATTTGTCTTACTAATGATACATTTCATTGTTATATTGGTCATTCTTCCTTATAGGAACAATCAAAAGCCAACATATTTGTCTTACTAATGATACATTTCATTGTTATATTGGTCATTCTTCCTTATAGGAACAATCAAAAGCCAACATATTTGTCTTACTAATGATACATTTCATTGTTATATTGGTCATTCTTCCTTATAGGAACAATCAAAAGCCAACATATTTGTCTTACTAATGATACATTTCATTGTTATATTGGTCATTCTTCCTTATAGGAACAATCAAAAGCCAACATATTTGTCTTACTAATGATACATTTCATTGTTATATTGGTCATTCTTCCTTATAGGAACAATCAAAAGCCAACATATTTGTCTTACTAATGATACATTTCATTGTTATATTGGTCATTCTTCCTTATAGGAACAATCAAAAGCCAACATATTTGTCTTACTAATGATACATTTCATTGTTATATTGGTCATTCTTCCTTATAGGAACAATCAAAAGCCAACATATTTGTCTTACTAATGATACATTTCATTGTTATATTGGTCATTCTTCCTTATAGGAACAATCAAAAGCCAACATATTTGTCTTACTAATGATACATTTCATTGTTATATTGGTCATTCTTCCTTATAGGAACAATCAAAAGCCAACATATTTGTCTTACTAATGATACATTTCATTGTTATATTGGTCATTCTTCCTTATAGGAACAATCAAAAGCCAACATATTTGTCTTACTAATGATACATTTCATTGTTATATTGGTCATTCTTCCTTATAGGAACAATCAAAAGCCAACATATTTGTCTTACTAATGATACATTTCATTGTTATATTGGTCATTCTTCCTTATAGGAACAATCAAAAGCCAACATATTTGTCTTACTAATGATACATTTCATTGTTATATTGGTCATTCTTCCTTATAGGAACAATCAAAAGCCAACATATTTGTCTTACTAATGATACATTTCATTGTTATATTGGTCATTCTTCCTTATAGGAACAATCAAAAGCCAACATATTTGTCTTACTAATGATACATTTCATTGTTATATTGGTCATTCTTCCTTATAGGAACAATCAAAAGCCAACATATTTGTCTTACTAATGATACATTTCATTGTTATATTGGTCATTCTTCCTTATAGGAACAATCAAAAGCCAACATATTTGTCTTACTAATGATACATTTCATTGTTATATTGGTCATTCTTCCTTATAGGAACAATCAAAAGCCAACATATTTGTCTTACTAATGATACATTTCATTGTTATATTGGTCATTCTTCCTTATAGGAACAATCAAAAGCCAACATATTTGTCTTACTAATGATACATTTCATTGTTATATTGGTCATTCTTCCTTATAGGAACAATCAAAAGCCAACATATTTGTCTTACTAATGATACATTTCATTGTTATATTGGTCATTCTTCCTTATAGGAACAATCAAAAGCCAACATATTTGTCTTACTAATGATACATTTCATTGTTATATTGGTCATTCTTCCTTATAGGAACAATCAAAAGCCAACATATTTGTCTTACTAATGATACATTTCATTGTTATATTGGTCATTCTTCCTTATAGGAACAATCAAAAGCCAACATATTTGTCTT